GTGGTTAGAGCACTAGCCTTGAGCTGAAGAGCTGAGGGACAGCGCCCAGGCCAAGTTCAGGCCCCACAACCGACAAAAAAAAAAAAAAAAGACAAAAAAAAAAGTTGAATTCTACCTCAAAAAATAACAGACAACAAAACTTGTGGTTTTATTTTTATTTTAGGTAATTAAGAGCTATCTAGGTGATCTCCTGCCTCATTGGTATCCTATCAACTTCCATGAATTTCTATTAAAAGATATCAAGCCAGGCGTTGTTGGCTCTCGCTTGTAATCCTAGCTACTCAGGAGGCTGAGATCTGAGGATCATGGTTCAAAGCCAAAGCCAGCCCAGGCAGGAAAGTCCATGAGACTCTTAGCTCCAATAAACCACTAGAAAACTGGAAGTGGCACTGTGGCTCAAGTGGTAGAACGCTCACCTTGAGCTGAAGAGCACAGGGGCAGTGCCCAAGCCCAGAGTTCAAAAAAAAAAGATTGACCCCCCCAAAAAAGATCAAATCTGGGATCTGTAGATCTTAGTTCAAAGCTAGCATAGGCAGAACAGTCCTTGACACTCCATCTCCAAAATAACCAGCAAAAAACCAGTCTGGTGAACCGAGCATCTGTGGCTCACGCCCATAATTCTAGCTACTCAGGAGGCTGAGATCTGAGGATAGCATTTCAAAGCCAGCCTGGGCAGGAAAGGCCCGGAAACTTTTTTCTTTTTTTTCTCGATCGTAGGGCTTGAACTCTGGGCCTGGGCACTGTCCCTGCTCTTCAGCACAGCACCACTTCCAGTTTTCTAGTGGTTTATTGGAGATGAGTCTCATGGACTTTCCTGCCCAGGCTGGTGTGAGCTTTGAACCGTGATCCTCAGATCTCAGCTTCCTGAGTAACTAGGATTATAGGCATGAGCCACCAGTGCTTGGCTGCCCAGAAATTCTTATCTCCAATAAACCACTCAGAAAACTGGAAGTGCCATGGCTGCTCAATTGGTAGAGTGCTAGCCTTGAGCTGAAGAGCTGAGGGACAGCGCAGGTCCTGAGTTCAAGCCATAGACTGCCACCAAAAAAAAACCTCGCCCAAACCAAAAAACTTTTATTTGGACAATTACTTTCCCAATCACTTTCTCAAACTGTGATATATTTAGTTTTTATCTACATATCTATATTTGTTATTGTGTAGATGTTTCAACTTTGTTAATATATGTACATATATGTGTATATATGTGTGTATGTATGTGCACACACAGATAAACTTAGAAACCAGATACTGACCTATCTTCATACTAATTTAACAGACACAGCTCACCTCCTATCAAGTTTAAAAATCTTTTTTCTTGGGGGGGGGTTCCGGTCATGGGGCCTGAACTCGGGCCTGGGCGCTGTCCCTCAGCTCTTCAGCTCAAGGCTAGCACTCTACCACTTG